GCAAGGTGTGAACCCCCCAAGGCGACACCAGAACAGTGTTTTATTTATTTATTTGTTTATTTATTGTAACAAACACAGAGGATCCAACAGGGGAATGGCCCATCCCGGCTCATTTCAGCTCCTTCACGGCCAGACCTGTGCAGGAGAGAGGACATGGATTGGGGGGGCTCAGCCATGGAAGGAAGAGGTGCCAGGAGCCCTCTGTCTCCACTGGGACCATCCATGAAAGTAGTGCCTGGAGCCCTCCCACTCCCTGGGAATGCCAAGCGCTGATGCAGGCAAGGGTGGTGGCACCAGTTCAGGGTGCTCCCCTCAATCCCAGCCACCCTCCCTAGTTCTCCTGGGATACCTGGGGGCAGGGACTGCTTCAGCTTCTCGGCCTTCTCCTTGTCGGTGATGACCAGGGTGTAGAGGTACCGACTGCAGCGCACCTTGAACTTCACATTGTCCTTGTTCTTCTTGATCTTGACGGCTGGGAGGGGAGGGCAGGGACACCCCAGAGTCACCCCAAGGGACTCCAAACCCTTCCCTGAGCAGAGCCCTCCGGGTAGGAATGGCAGGAAGAGCTCAGTGGTGCTCCCCCAGTGCTCAGCTCTCCCTTCCCACCCACACCCTGAGTAACAACATATTCCCGAGGGATCCCATGACAGCCCATCCAAACAAGCCAGAGAAGAGGAAACACTCCTCAGGTGTTGTTAAAGACGGAGAAAAGGCAGTGCAGGTGTTACAATTATTGTCACTTTGTGTTGGCAACAGAACTCTCCTAAGGATGAATCACCCTGTGTTGTGATAGAGTTCTCTGACAGCCCAGGGCTCTTCAGAGTAGGGGCTTATTTGGGAATGGCCCCAGGGAGCTGCACCTGGGGCTTGGCAGAACACCCTGGGGCAAGGAGCAGTGGGAATGGGTGGCTGGGAACACCCTGAGGGACCCTCTGGACCCCAAGCTCCTCTGTTCACAGGGGTGATCTCGGTCCACACAGAGCCAAAGCCACTTTGTGTCACCCACAGACCCCCAGCACTTGTCCCTCAGTGCTCCCGAGCCCAGGAGCTGCTCAGTGTCCACAGGCACCTGTGCTGGACCATCCCACCCCTGTCCCCCAAGGACCCTCCACTAACACTTGGCGTCCTTCCTCCGTGCTGTCAGCAGGAAGTCCTTGATCTCCTCAATCTT